AGAGTAATAAATTAATAATACTTATAAGTATAATATATTATTACTCTTAATATAGTTTATAATATAATTTTTAAAAAGGTTTTTATTATATAATTTATTTTATTTAATATTAATATTATTAGATTTTTAAAAGCTTTAAGAGTGTCCTAGAGTTTTGTAGCTGTCCCGGAGTTTTTTGGTCAACTAAGTGGCTAGCCCACTTAGTTGTCAACGGGTACGTGTTAATCTACTTTAGCAGTTAGTGTGGTGTAGTAGCATTTCCCCTATTCCTAGGTAGCCATGGCAACGAAGGACGATGGTTTTGAAAGCTCAGGATCTAGTAGTCATGTCTTAATATTAGAGACTTATTACTCTTATACGACGCCAGAGAGAGAGCGAATCAAACATGCCACGCCGTGCCATTTCTCTTAAAGAAAGACGAAAACGCAAAAGAGACTATGCTCATGCACGGCGACTAAAGAAAAGGCTGGAAGTATACAACGAATATTAGCAGCTGTATACGCACGATTTTACAGTACGACTTATCGACACTAAGCGGCGGGACTCGCAGAGCGCCACTGGTTAAAAAGCCGAGTTAGGTACGGAGTATAAACAGCCCAAATCTTCATTTGTGTCACATATCTTTGCTGGAATGCAGTGTAACCACACATACAATCATCCGGTGCATAATGTAACACATTAATGCCTACAATTTCCTAACATTTATCACATATATTTGCAAAACCCGGATTCAATGGGAGCATAACTGATAGTACCATAAGCTACCCTACATGTGGAACCGAAACTTGTTGGCTCAAGCTTGGTAGCATGCAATTAACCAATAGACACGCAGCACAACAACCAATGCGCCAAACCTAGCGTTATTAACAGCGTTAGTTCAGCCACGAAATCTACTAATAGCTGCGCAGAACTGAACTTCTTGTCTGTTGACACACGATGCCATTAACGCTTGCTCGCTAAACCTGATTGTCGTTAGACAGGCCTCGAGAATCATGCCAAACCCGAGACTCAAGCGCGAGCAGTTCTACCACTGCATAGGACGTCGCCGACCTCGTGGACAACATTTGAGCACGCGGTAGCCCCATTTCAGCAACACCAACCATGTGCATCTCATCATGAGGTAGACGCCTCATCGCACCTTAACCTTAATAACCCATAGCAACATTTCGATATTGATACTGGACACCATCCGCCAAGGCACATTTCTTGAACCAGTTCCCCTCTGACATCCCGTGCTGAAGTCGCGTCGCTAAGCCCCTTATCATCCCGCTTGTTTTTGGCAGGCTCGCCAGCCGCCGCAGGTTTCCCCTCTGGTGTGCGAAGGCTCCAGTCATGTATCTACGGGGATAAGACGCCAATCAAGAGCCGTAAATTAAAAGGTACTTTATTCCACACTTAAATTCCACTATAATACAGGTTACTATAAGCATCCAAGTTACAAAAAGCTACATCATATATCACTAGATCGGAGCCACTATTATGTCGCTTGAGGTCACTAATTATAGCCGGGATATTGTGGGTCCACGCGACCTGCTTGGAGCCTTCGCACACCAGAGGGGCTTCGGAACCCTCAGTCTCAGTGGCGATCTCCCAGCCATTCCGTCTAAACCATCCTAATACTATGCTTTCAGCTATCTTGCAGGCTATATTTACACAAGAAACTGACGGCAGTCGCGCTTTTCTTGACGCACAGCAGAAAGTGGACGATGGGGGTTTTCGAGCCTTCTTTGACATCAACTGTCGCTGTACGCATTTCGTCACCGTGCTTCGATGCATATGGCTAGTTGTCTTCTAATGTTCTATCCTCTAGGCTCTTCCGAGACTCCATGTTATGAACCCGGAAGCTCCCATACACTGCGGGAGAGAGTCCAATACCTACAACGATATCTCCCTCCAATTTCGACCATATTCGGTCGTTGTGGCTCATATAACCCGAGCGCTTCTTTCCCTCAATGGCAAAGCTTCCTCTCCGACTAACCTGCTGAGTGTCTTTCCTTTAATAAAACGCAAGACTCCTTACCGCGATCCGTGATAAATATTGAAAGATTATGGGATGTAGATAGTGTCTGGTTTGGTGCTAAGAGCTTGCAGGCGATACGCCCCCTAAATGACTTTCTTCTATGCTTTTTGCCTCCGTTTCAACGCCATATCTCGACATACCAAGTCATTCAATCACATGGGCTCAACTTGGCGGGCACCGGCACATACTACTAGGTACCTTTAATACTTGCAATGTTTGATTTGAAGTCTTCGTCTACTTTCCTGGAACAGCCCGTGGTCCTCGTTCAAAGACCCAAGCCTCAAGAAATGAAATCACACTTGAACGACAGAAAGATTTCTACGATAAGATTATAATACCAGCAGCGTATGAGACGATCTCTGATCCTGTCCGACAAGAGATTCCTCGATCCTACGATATTGTCTACGCAAAGTCCCGTGCGTTCCAGGAGAAACCCGGTACCGGCCGTTGGCTTCCAGAAGATGAGGGCCGCGTCTTTCAGCTCCGCTATACACTTCCTGCTCAAGAGCTCCGTCTCTTCTGGAAATCTGTTGTTGAAAAGGCAAACACTGTTGATGTGGCCACTCAACGTGGTGAGAAAATAGCATATTTCCAGAATCCACAATTGCTTTTTCAGGCACACGACCTGAAAAACACAATTGCAAAGCCGAGCTTGGACGTCACTCTGTCTCTTTTCCGGGACACGATTCTCGCTGCCCTCGACCCGGATCACCTCGATGTTCACTCTTGCTGGCTTGATATTGGGGCTCGTGACTATGTATCGAGTTCGTCAACTTCGACTCTTGCCGGGCTGAAACCGTATACCCTTCTTTGGAAAAGCCATTGTCTGGCTGGCCTCGATAAGCAGCTGTCGTTGCTCTTGGCTGAGAGTTCATTGGCACCTTCTCACTTTCGCTCATTTCTACTGCGGGACGTAGGCACCTACGTCTCCAAGGCAAAATCGATGCGGGGCTTTAACCCCGGCCACCCAGACGCTCGTAGGCCTGCTATCATCCGCGCCAAGGCATACAACTGCAACAAAGAACCGTTTTCAGTCATGCACAGAGACTATCGCCTCTTCGGCTCTGGATTTCTTCCGCTGCTTGCTCTCGATGAAGCAATGATCCGAGACCTTGCAGTCAACAATCAGAACCATCAGCGCGCCTCTAATGGTGACCTCAACGGAGGTGCTGGTGAAACATGCAACAGCGTGATCATTGATTTGAGAAACTCTTGTGCCTCGCACTCATAGACAGCCATTGCCTGTCGACATAGTCTCTTCCCCCCAGCTTGATCTTGCTCATCCCGCACAAACGCCCGTCGCAAGTCTGCTCGGTGCTCGATCTGCCGGAGCAAGGCGCCGTGTGTTCCACGGAGGTATTCTGCGTTTCTAACATCCGTTAGCCATGACCCACCGTACTCTTCCGCATCGAGATCGTCATGCAGCAACCATGTCTCGACCGTTGGGATATCCTTTGCCCTGAAGAGAAGTTTATCGTAAAGCAGGGTGCGTGCCCTCCTATATTCTGACGTGACGAGTTGTGGTACATGCTCCATGGAGAGCCTCTTGCCTTGCAAGTCCACCTCCTGGCCATCGCGCGACCAGCGCGCCTGGTTGTTGCTGATAGCCGCTTGCGCCACCGTTGAAAGATATAGTCGCCACTGCAGGATATGACTGAACGCCGTTTCACCTTTCTGGTGCATGAACTTCCTGCATATATTTTCTAGACTCTCTGGGCTTTCGTTTTCCTTGTGTACGGTCGCATATTAGCTAAGCTTCGTAAAACCCCGCTAAATTAATTTTTTAATTTTACGATTTTACTAAAAGAACTAAAAGGTAATTATATTCTTAACTTATAACGCTTTATATAAAAAAAGAGCTATAATAAATATAATTACTAAAGGTACGTGATAAAAATACACTACTTTTTATGCTATTAAAAGTGTAGCTAAAGGTTCATTAATACGGCGGGTTATAGCGCCTTTAGCTACACAGCCTTACCTTTAGCTACAGTTACTAGATAAAAGTCTCGAGAATAACCCATTTTTACACCAAAACTTATACTTTCTAAGTATAAATAAATCAAGGTTTTTATACGTAAGTAAATGAATAAAAATTTAAACTTAATAATTAATTAATTTAAATTTACTATTATCATTTTTTTATTATTTCTCCTATTTTTTAAGCTTAGATTTTTAAGCTTAAAAAACGGAAAAGATAAGTTTAGGTGTAAAATCGCTAATTATCGTGACTTTTATCTACCCACTATATATAGCCTTACCTTTAGCTGCACAGCCTTACCTTTAGCTATACAGCGCCTTTAGCTATATAGCGCCTTTAGCTGTATAGCGCTTTTAGCTGTACTTTTAATAGCGTAAAAAGTAATATATTCTTATCGCGTATCTTTAATAATTATATTTTTTTAACCCTTTTTTTATATAAAGTAATATAAGTTAAAAACATAATTACCTTTTAGTAAAATCGTAAAATTAAAAAATTAATTTAGCGGGCTTTTACGGAGCTTAGCTAATATGCCACCGTACTCGTGTCTTTTATAGAAGCATGCGGTTTCAAAAATTATGAGCTGCGCACCCCAGACCAGTTTAGATAGTTGGCTCGTGTAGCTTCCAGGCTTCACCAAGGTGCCGAATTTGTGTTCTCGCAGCGGTGCGGCGTCTCCATTCATCTGGTCATTCGCAACTGTGCGCTTGCTCTTGGCGCTGCTCTTCCGTTTATGCTCATAGTAGCTCCCGTTCTTCAGCGTCGTCCTGCTTAACATCGCACAGAAGCTGATAACTGGCGACCGGAACGGTAAGCCCCCTAACCTCATGACATATTAGACCAATATAGAACCTTCGGATCGCACCCGTTAGCCTTGAGTCATAATGTTGGTAAATACTATCGTTTTTGCCCATGTTTTCGGCTCCCCTTCGGCGGTCTTCCTCTCGTAGAGCGCTAAACATGTTTTTCATTACTCGTTGCTGCTCGACTGTCGGTTCGATGACGTCCCGAGGCACTATCCCCGTCATGTCTTCGCGTGCATCTGCGTGGTTGTCTTTATTCATCTCTTTCTAGACTTCTTCCCGAGGCCGAGCGAAGTGACCGCCTTCGCAGTAAATCACTCTGTAGTAGTAGACCAGCAGCTGTTTCATCGTTCTGAAGTAGTCCGTTAATGACGACGGGTTCTTGAAGCGGCGGAAGGCCGTGTCCTTGCCCTTTTTGCCAACACCCCACGCAAAGTCGCTGAGTATCTGGGCGCGTTGTTGTGTCATCTTTTGCGTTGGTGACCTATCCGATACCCACATATACGCACTTCTAAACAAGGCATCTGCCGCGGCCAGTATGCGCCTGAGGTCGCATTCTTCGTCCTGTTCATCTCCCGCATTGTCGTTGTTCTCGTAGCCGGCGCCGAGGGTACGTATTCCCTCGTCCACTCGTGGCCGGTCATACAGCAGAATGTTTTCCTTTTTAGGCAGCTTATAGGACGACCAAATCTCCACGTCCTGGAGCCCCCGAAGGTGGGTCGGGAATCCCGTGTGGATCAGCCACGGCTCCCGGTCCGGTCGGTGCTGTCCGGCATCCTCAACCGTGGCCGCCATGTCCTCAAGATCCCGCGCCGCAACTTGTAGGTCACCCTTGAGGCCTCCGAAGAGCCTTTCTTCCGCTACCGATGGTGGGGGTCCTATATATTGGAGTGGTTGGTCCATGCTTCCTCCTCCTTTTCTTTCTCCCCGCAGCCGCGTGGAAGGTCCGGGACTGCCGTCCTGTCTGTCATTGGATTGGTGAACGGTAAAGTAGTCGATGCGCCCCTTCGCAGTAAAATACGTCTGTAGGACGCATGCCTCCCATAGCGGACTGAGTTTGCAATGTTGCGATGCCCTTTTCCCGTGTCTAGGCATGTGTCCATACATCGTGTCCAATCGCGTCGTCACAAAGTCGCACGTCTCGCGGTCACTCGTGCATATGTAGCCATTGTATGCCACCAAGTGCTCGATTCTCCGGCATAGTGTTCTCCTGTTTGGCCGCCGCTGTCGTAGCTCTTCCTTCCCCCGCAAGTCATACGTCGACAACAGCCCAATCGTCCTGCGTAGCTCGTCCCCCTTCATGTGGTGCGGCTTCTTACCAAGGTGGTCTTTCCAATTCCTTGGTCCTCCCGGCGCGAGGCATATGCCACATCGTTCGCATACCACGACGCGATGCTCTTCGTCATGAACGAAATTGTCAGCGCCTACTACTTTCGTGCATCTGGTAAATCAGTTTGGTTATTCCCCTACTTCACTCGAAAGGTTTATATAGAGGGAGAAGGAGGGAGGGAGAGAAGCAGTTCTACCTTCTCCCAACGCATGTTTCGTTTATTGGCGGGCAATAGTGATAAAATATATATAGTTAGTCCTATTTACTCCAGGGAAACTGCTAATATTGCTAATGCCATGCCGTCTCTTAGAAACGACCGCCACACACAGGCTATAGGCTTTTCTCTTCTTCTTCTTATTTTTAGGCTAATTATTACTATTCGTTTCATGCAAATCACTTTTTATTATAATATATAAATTACCTATTACACCTGAATAGAGTATTAACTATAGTGTAGTTTTATAGTTTTATAGTTTTATAGTTTTTATAGTTTTAATATAAA